GGCAGCAGGAGGCTGTGGCTCTGAACGTTAGACTAATGATCTTAAATGTAGACTGGACGCTCAGGCATTATAATAAAAAGACTGCCTCTAGGCAGCTGTATTGCATAATAAGTGCAGGAAGGAGGATTGCTGTGATTTGTGTCTTTGACCAGAAGCAAGCAGCTCAGGACTGAGAACAGGCAGGTGAAGACTTTTGTATGTGCCGTAGTGGAAGTGAATGGACAAATGGGTTTGAAAGAGTTTGCTTCTGGTCTTCAGGGATGGATCTGGGGGCAGGATGTAGACATTCACTTGCACCCCACTTAGATTCCTGTTCCACCCAAACTTTAAACCCAATCGCCTAGGAGGGGGTACATTTTTATTCAGGCAGTGCTGAGACAGTCAATTAACTTCATGGTTTAGTATCATCTCCCTGATACCTGCTAATCTCCCTCCACTTCACAGGTGTTCACAACCCTCTGTCCTTTTTAATGGTCTTGATGGAGGCACTGTCAAAGCGCTCAAGAAGGCTAGATTGTGTTAATTTAGGACTCTGAATAAGAGATGCAAGTTTAACTATCATGATTCTAGGACTAATGAGACAGTATTTTTTGATAATTATGACTATTTTTTGCTTAGTTTGTGTTTTTGACATTGATATAGAATCTAGGAAATTAGTGCATAGTCCAATAATTATATTTGTTTTTGCTTTGATCTTAAACTGAATAATATAGTGCCACCCATTAGCATCTTAGTAAAGCTTCTAGTTAATCCTTGATTGGGGAAAAATGTGTGTTGTATTATATGTGATGTGCTGCAGCACCTGCACCCTACTTTTAAAGTCCTAAATCCGCCCATGCTGGTATATTTTACATTGGGCTGGATTAAATAAAGGATACCCTTACATATATGATTCACCATTTATTTGAGTATTCACTGGTGTGGGTAGAACTGATGGATTTTTTGTATTTGTTTTGAAAAGCTGGTAGGGACTGAAATAAGATGCCAAGCGCTTTCTGAACAAGGCTGACTGCAATGGAAACTTCATTCCCATCTATGGGCTGATTGGCCTATATGGGATGAAACAGTGGTCTCATTGGTAGTATTAGTGGATTAGAATTCATTTAAACACATTAGTTCTTATGTGGGCTTTTTATTAAGGTTCACAAAAGGGGTCAAGAAAAGATTGACTGCAGTGGCATCTATTTCTCATCCACAGAGGCAGCTAGTTCAGAAGACTGGACTACTTCAGCATTGCTGCTGCGCATCCTGCACGTCTCCTGTAGAAAGTGGACTTTTGCAGAGCTGACAATCAGGTATCTTTCATCAGCAATAACATTTATTAATGTTATCAGGGGCATTCTCTTACTGCAGTAAAAGCGCCAATGGAAAGAACAGAGCATGTCATTACAAAGACTTTCTTCCACAGTTGTAGCCAAACTCTAAGTAGAAGCATTTTAGCAGAACAGAGTGAATAATATGAAACTGAGGTCCAACTATTAGTTTAATTCTTTTAAGTGAGCTTTCTTCAGCTCTGTTCAACCCCTGGATGTTTTTTACACACAGGTTTCAGAGGAACTAATGGAATTTGCAAAATTGTGTTGACTTGGGTGTGAAGAGTTTAACCGAAAAGTCTGGAGGAAACATTTCAAATTATTAATTCATTTTGTTTGAACATTTATGGAGAAAAATGTTTTGACTTTCTGTTTAGAAGTTATGTTTTTCAATTAAAAGTTGACTAAAATAAAAAAAAAAATTAGTTGTTGAGTTAGTTTGCGTTAACAAATGGATTTACATTTATATGTACTTCTAAGTATTTCCAGTGTACAATTAGATTAAACTAGAAGAAAAGTTTGTTGCAACAAGTTTGTGTTGTTTAATGCACATATGATGCAATACTAATAATGTGATAGTAATAATGACAAAGGTTTCTATATTTATCATAAGTTCACACCAAGCATTAATTAAATGATAAAAAATGTGGTTCCTGCTGTGAAGAATTACAGTCTGGTATTGATCTTCCAATGATTTATGCCAACGTATAGAGTTACTCCCACAGAAGTTATGCGTAGGATCAGGCTGTAAATCAGATATCCCTAGGACATACACCTGAACAAAAAAGGGAGTCAGAAAAAGACATTCAAGCAATAAAAGATAATGTGAGTTGTACTGGCATGAAATCATAATTTTTGACCATTTTGAAATGAAGATGGAAGAGAAGTAAGAAACTAAATAGACAAAGTCAGTAATGGGAAGTGAGGAAAGAAGTTAGATTTGAGGGAGGATTTGAAGGATGAAAGCAAAAATTAAGAGTTGGACAAAAATTTCCAACAAAGAATTTTTTTCTTGGAAAATGTAGATTTTTTTTTTTTGCCAAACTTGCAAAATAGACACGTTGATATCAGCATCAATTTCAACCAAAATGTTTCATTTCAAAATGTCATTTCAGTTTAATGATGTCAGCTTAAGGGGATGTATCACTTTGAAATGACAGTTTCCATGTTGAGTAGACATTCCTGAATTAAAGAGTTTGGTCAAAATAAACATGCAATTATAAAACATTTTGCTTCAGATCAACCTGCTGTTTCAAAGGGTGAAAACATTGATTCAGTTACAAGGGTCAGAATTTTTTATTTTGATACTTACAAATTAAATACCCTATGACTGATATTTTGGGATGATTTTGATCACAAGTGGGAATAGACACATATGTTAAGATGTGATTGAAATTCTAGTTTCTAGTCAGCGGCAAGCTCTGAAGTTTGCTTTACAGAAAGAAGGGTGTTGAGTCAGGCAGATCAGACAGCAGGGCTGAAGATGTGAGGTAGAGAAAATGAAGGAAGAAACCAAGAACCAACAAGACGTGCAGTGCTGAGCTATGGTGTGATGAAAAGTGAGATGAGTTATAGGAAAGATAGATCTATGAGGAGTCTAAAAGGCAGAGGGCAGATGGCAGAAGTGATACGGGAAAATGGTGTGACTTTCGCAAGCTCAAACTGCAGCATAGGATGAAAGTTTCTAAACAAAGTATGCTGCTCAGCTGCTGTGAGCTGTCTTGATTGAGCCCCTGCTTAAAAGTGAGAATGGCATTTTGCCCTTCATGAAGGAGAGACCAAAAAACCCCCAAAATCATAGAAAAAAAATTGAAGAAGCAGTGAGAATTGTGGCTACAAACCACTTGCATGTGTTAAACATCATCAGTGTGTTTAGCGAGCATTAAACTTCCCAAACTTACTCCAGCTCGCTTAGCAACAATATCATTTGGTTTCACTTCTGTGTTTGTAACCTTACTGTGTCTTGCCCCCACCAGTGACTATCTGGATCTTGTCTTCTTGGCTACTATTCCGCTTCCTATTTTCTGTCCCTTGTGTTTGTCATTATCCCTTGACTGCACTGAATCTTCTGCCTCTACCTCTCACCCGCCAACACAGACATGAACCAGGTTAGAGAAAGATTATTTTAGCTGTCACGAACTGGTAGAGGAGATTACAGGTAAATTGGAATTGCTGCAGGAATCATCACTTTTATAGTGCTTAGTCTCCTTTTCCTTCTTCTCATTTTAAACTCTAATGAAGTCATTTGGAATTCTTCAAATGCTCTTACTTTAGTGCTTGATTCCAGAATTTAAGTAACCAGACTGCCCAGTGTGCTCTTAGTCATTCTCAGTTTTATTTCAAAACAAAGGTCTGCTTTTGGAGTAAATGTATCTAGCCACTGGTAGGTATTATTATTATTTTTTAATTTTAATTTTATTTTATTATTCTTTTTTTACTACAACACCAGGAAATCTCCACCAGAACAGCACTGCAGAGCTGCACGAATGTGAACTAAGTTACAGCATGTGATTTGGTGAGCTGGAAAGCTAAAGCCTGGATCCAGCAATTGACTACAGATAGAATGGTGTGCCTTTCTGCATCCCCTTGGGTCATGATGTGACTCCATGTGGTTGTAGTAGAAATGATCAGGAGGCTGATAATAGGATGTTAGGCAAGACTACAAACTGGACTGCAAACTGCATGTCTTTTACTCAGGAACATGCCAAGTTTGCAGTTCAAAAAGAAAGACCTGAATGTCTCAGCCCAAATATCTGGGCTGGGAACATATGTAAGCCTATGATGTAACTTCTGTTATAGGTAATTTTAATGACATTTTGAGGACCTGAAAGCAGAGGATTTAAGTAAAAACATCTTCTTAATATTAATCAATGATTATCTTTCTGCAGCTGATAATTGGCAAAAAGTGATCTATTACAAATCACTGATTTTTTGTTTTGGAATATCAGGTGTGATACCCTGTGTTACTAAACGCATCATTCATTTTCTTTTCTCCCCAAAGCATGGGAAATATGTAAGGCTTCCTTTTAAAAAATGGTTGTGATCTTTTACAAGTAGAATGCCGTCTTTTCTGTTTTGTGATAGAAATGGCTTCACCCTTAAAAATTAAAAAATAAGGATAAGATAATGGCTACATAGACTCACATTTCTATCCATCAGTGAAAGATTAGATCCTGAATATTCTTATTCATATCATTGCCTTGATTTTCAAAATGTGATGTAAAGCATCCAGGTTCTTTCTAACAAAGCACTTTACCCCTACTTGATTTATTTGGTTATCTGCTTCAGTTGAAAGTGTAGATGCATCTGAAATAGCATTACTCTATCTGTTTTGGGTGCCGGTACAGTAAATCTACGGCAGCATGGGCTATAGATACTTCACTTACACCCCTTGGCATTCTGCTTGTAAAACAGCAGCTTCCTCCATTGCCATGAGCTCATTGTCAGTACTGGATGCCATCTTTCCTTTTGAACCTGCTTGCAGGGGTCAGAAAAAGTGTCTAAGATGAACTGACAAGAAGTCTTTTATAGAATACTTGTATTCAAGGAAAACAGTTGTTTTTATTCATATTTTGTTTCTGTTCTCTCGAAACAGGACATTCTGGGTGGACTTGCACAGTGATCTGTGATTCCAAGCTATTTCCAGTGCTTTTACTTGCGGTTGTTTATGCTTTCCCCTGAGGAGAGATGGTCCAAATGTGGCTAGTTCTGGCTCACCTCTTATTTTTCCTAATTGGCCAGGTTCAAGGGTCAGGTAGGTGGGAAAGATCATAAAGCGAATGTAATGTTGTACACCTGAAGGCATTACAAAGTATTCTGCATTTCCACTATATGAGATTGGAAGGACACCAGGGGAAAGGGGAAGGATTTTCTCTGGGTGTGAAACAGGGTGGCAGGAGACGGTGGGCAGAGGGACTGGGGAAGGGGTGGGGAGAGCAGGTTTTGTACACCTAGATGTGAACGGGGTTGAGAAGCTTGGTTGGGATGGTGTAGAGAGGGTTTGCTGTGCTAATTGGCAGGGAAGTAGGAGTGGGTGGAGTGGAGTTTTTAAAGCTTTAGGGTGTCAATTAGGGAGTCTGTTGTTATTTCTTATCTCATGGGTGGGTGGCTTGTCAGTCATTGTACGCCACTGGGAGCATTTCCGGATACCACAAGAGTTAAAGGTGAACAGCAGCTCTACTGTTACTCTGAAACTGGCCAATGTTGATAGAAAAGCTACTAGTTAATGCAAAACCACAGTGCAAGCAACTGAAGAGGCTTTACTGATACAAGTAGAAAACATCACACACAGTTAGAGGTGGGAAAGCCAGAGATTGATGCGCATTAGAATCACAAAATAAGCTGTCCTCACCCTGACCTGCCACAGGAAGGTGCTGCTGGACAGGCATGCAGTGCACAGTGCATGCAGGCTCCATCTCCGGTACAGTTTACTGCAAACTTCCAGAATTAAGACTTCTGGGATACATGGCATATGTTTTTCCCCACAACTGCCCCAAATACAGTGGGGAATCACAGGCTTCAAACCTTGTTACAGAGACATGGTGGCATGTATAGTGTTAACTACATGCTCACCACATTGACCCACTAAATGGTATTCTCCTGTCTCGCCCTCAGAGGCATTTCCTCCTTTTAAGTGATTCTATCCCCTCCCTAACACTTCCCCAAAGCCTGTAACAAGGTAACCAGAAGTCCCTGGCTAAAGGGGCTGGATGGTATTTTTTTGGAACATAATGGTGTGATTTATAGCTCACTATTTTGCATCAGTACAAAGCAGCACAGGTCATTGTCCCCCCTGCGTTGCCAGCCCTTGATGGATAGGCACGCAGTAGACCAGCTATGGAAACTGAGCACTTCTTTTATGTAGCATTATGGACTATGAGGCACAGGACAGCCAGAAATCCTTGAGCAGCAAGCAAGTGGTAAAGGGAGAGAGGCCAGGCTCCAGTCCAGTAGCATTCTCCAGTGGTGACTGAGACTCAGTCCAAATACAGACATAGCAAGGGGCTTCCACAGAATGTAGGATCAATGAGATCAGTGAAGTTTCTCTCATACATCTGTAGCTGTCAACCAATTTTAGACCATATGGTATAAATATGCAGACATAGGTGTGAGGACTGGCATTGTGAGAGGTTTCAATGCAGGGCGGGGAAGGGGATGCTAAATCATAATGAAACTAAGAACTTCCTAAGCTAAAATTTTGAGTGGAAATGACATTATTGCTTCACTGCTTCTTCCCATGTAGTGAGCAACATGTTTGCAGTGACTGGTACTAGGGCGGTGCTGAGATGCCCTTACATATCAGTGGCACCTATGGTTTTGGCAGTATGGAATATAAGTGCAAAGAATGGAGCGGCATGTTTATTGGCTTACAGAGCTGATACCAATGAGACAAAAAGTGTAAACTGCAGTGAGAGGATGACATGGGAATCTAGACCTGATTATGACCCTTCCCTTCAGATTCACCCTGTAAAGCTTGCTGATGAAGGAACTTATATGTGTGAAGTTGTAAATAGTGATGGGAGTTTTTATGAGACCTATGCTCTGACCGTGTTAGGTAAGAACCATCTTATGTTCTTTATTTTTGAGGTAAAATTAACTTGATTTTGCTTTGACAGGCAAATTCCCTATTCTGTGCATGCTAATGCTAGGAAGTGAGGGTTAGAAAACTCTTCAAAGAGAAAGTTCAGCATTTATTTCCTAAGGTTTGTTCTCTTCACTAATGACAGGCTGACTGGCTGTTCACAGAGAAGGGTAATAGGGATGAAGAGCAGCATTGGAAATGTGTAGGCCATGCACCCCCTGGAAGCGCCAGACATGAAACCAAAAGTGTTGGCAGAAGTGCACTTCTGGTTTCGTCGCTAGCTCGGCGATTGGCTGCTGGGGGGATCTTCCCTCCCCCATCCCCACTGTTGGCCATCTGGTGCCCCCCCAGTTTTGGGAAGCACCAGTCGCCCATGAAGAGTAGTGTAGATGTATGGGGACTAAATGCTTTGTTGTTTTTACAACAGAGATAAGTGGGCACGAGGGGAGGGATTTTGAACATTATCAAAAGCAGCATGCTGTAGTAACATTCTCAGATGCATGTGATGAAAGTTGTTGCACACAAGACTTGTTCAAAAGTTTACATGGACCTTAGAATACACCATTGGCCTGTGAAAAATGGAATTAGGTGACCTTAAATATGTATCTCTCTTAGGTAGCTAAGGCAGTGATATCCGTGTATGCTGTGTGCATGTAAGAGTTTCAGGACTTGGCTGATGAATATTTCTTTCACTAACTTAAAAAAGGTATGAGGATGAATTAATGAGACCAGTTCACCAAAAGAAGCTTGGAGCACGCTCATTTTCAGCCTAGGAGGGGACAAAAGATCATTAACTTACCCAAAAGTGAAAACATTGTTAACAGAAACTGCAGATTTTACCTTAAATTTCTAGAAACATTCTAGTCTGCAAAAAGACTCTGTGTTCCAGTTGGACTATCACTGGTAGGTGCTATAAGGCTTCAGCCCCTTTCTGGTCGGTGCCTTCCTCCCTAGCGACGTCAGAATGAGACCGCACCCTAGGTCCACCTAGATGGTTCCAAGCACTGCCCCTACTTGCCTGCCACAACTTTGATGTTGATTGATGGGGAGGCAGTTCCCTGCCGGTGGTGCCAGAGGGGTCTTGACCCTGTTCTTTCTTTGTGGGGCTCCAAACCTCTCCTTTACCCCACCCTTACCACATCCACAGCCTGGGAGGACTGTGCTCCCTGTAATCTTCCCTGGGATGATCTCTTCTCACCTGTGTGGGCTGCCTCGATTGGGATTGGGTCTGTTCGGCCATCAATCTCTCCTGAATTGATCCCTAGTCTTCAGACCAACCTTCGGGTAACTAAACATGCCCCAGCCTGGGGGTAACAATAACTTAGAAGATTCTTAACTAAAAGAGAAGATGTTCAGCATCTGCTGATTGAGTGCTTGGGACTCTGGCCCCCAGGACCCCTCTGCCTCCCTGGGACAGGAGAAGGAATTTTGTCCATCTCTCTGGGTACTCTTCCCAGGGACCAGCAGACTAGGAGTTAATCACTCCTGATCCCACCACCTGGTGGAACTTGCCCCTTCCCTGTCAAGCTCTGGGCCAGTTGCTGCCTGCTCCTCCCTCTTCACCAGGCTGCCTGCAGGGTTTTGCCGTCGCTTGCCGCCCTTCCCTGCCATGGTATGTGAACTCTCCAGAGAAGCCTGGTCTTCGCCCGTGATTGTGGGGACGATCTTCTCCCTGCTGTGACCCTCCGGCAAACTTCGGCTCCCTGAGCCTGGACCCATGGTTTTTGCCACCGGGTTTCCTTGTCTGATGCTGGGGCTTCTCGCCCTGTGCTCCGCTCTGCTGTTCCTGCCAGGCTCTGCCGCCAGGTCTCTCCCCAGTTGCCTTTTGATCAGACCGTGCTTCCTTCAGGTCCCACCCCTGGGGCTCGCTGATCCGCAGGCTCAGGCAGCTGCAGAACTGTTGAGCCTGCGTTGGCATTTCCCCACAGCTGCCACTCATCCTGGTCCCTGCCATGAGTACCGGTGCTCATTGGGCACGGTCCCGGGACATGTTGGGAGGGGGTCTTCTACCTCCCCTCTCACATGGACTAATTAAGTTATAGTGATGTTGGAAAGGTTTGCCACTTTGCCAGGTTTCAATAAGGTACAGGAAAGGGAAGATTTAATCTAGTTATTCTACAATCACCATCATAATTAATGTCACCTGACTCTTTCCTGAGGACTTGTCTTTCAGATAGAAGCTATTGTCTATCTCTTGTCTCTCCCTGGTTAGAATCATAGCTAAGTAGGGCTGGAAGGGACATCCACAGGTCATCTAGTCCAACCCACTTCCTGAGGCAGCATCATGCCTATCTAAACCATCCCATAAAAACCATAATCTAAACCCTACATAAGACTACCATCAACTTGACATAACACAAGCATAACACCCTAACTTGCCACAGGTAAGGCAGAGAAACCACAGCAGCCAGCATTCTGCTTCTCTGCAATGTTGTCAATATGTACTCGAGACAACCCAGGGAGAGGGCCACAACCCCTCCCCACCTCTTCACCCCTACTATAGAGGAAGGCAAAAAACCCCACAGTTCATACCAATATGCCCATGGAGTAAAATTATATCCTGACCCCAAATATGGCAATTGGTCTGACCTTAAGTGGAAGGGCAAGACCCTCTAGCCAGGAACCTCCAGCTTTGTTCCCAGCAGTAGCATTGGCACACCCCATGGCCAGATGGTGGCTTCTGTGCCAGGCCTGGGCTCCGGATTGGAGACCATTATCTGGCTCACAGTTGGACTAGGCACTGCCTATGTGGCCCACCAGGGAAAAAGGTTGAGCATCCCTGGGCTAAACAGTCTGTAGTTTCCCAGGTCCTCCTTGCCTTTTTTAAAGAGGGTCACTACATTGGCCCTTTTCCAGTTCTCTGGTACCTCCCACAACTTCATGAAGATCACTGCCAAGGGCTCCGAGATCTCCTCTGCCAGTTCCTTCAGGACCATGGGATGAAGCTCGTCTGGGCTTGCTGACCTAAATTCATTCAGACCAAATAAAACTCTCTGACCATCTCTTTTGTTATTTCCTCCCTCAGCTTACCCCCTTCATTATCCAGATAATCCCTATTAGGTGTCTGGCAGCTTAACTATTTTGTGAAGACTGAGGCAAAGTAGATGTTGAGTAGCTCTGCCCTCTTAGTATCTTTGATTAGGAGCTCCTCCTGGCTTGTTAACAGAGGACCTGCAGCTTTCTTGGTCCTTCTTTTCTGGCCAACATACTTATAGAACTTCTTCTGGTTTTCCTTATCATCCTTTGCTAGGTACAGCTTGTTTTTTATGTTTTCCTTCCTGATTTTGTCCCTGCAGGTTCTTGCTATTTCCTGGTATGCTTTGTTGGTGACCTGCCCATTCTTCCTTAGCCTGTATGCTTTCCTTTTGCATTTGAGGCATTTTAGAATCTCCTTGTGCAGCCACATTGGTCTCTTGCCATTCTTCTTGTGCTTCCATTGTGTTGAGACAGTTTCTTGTTGGGCTTCCAATACTGTGACCCTCAGAAGCTCCCAGCCCACTGGGTGCCTTTATCCTTCAATCTATCCTCCCATGACACCATACCTATTAAGAACTTGAGTCCAATGAAATCCATCTTTTTGAAATCTAGCATCCTAATTTAGCTGACCTCAAGCTTTTCCTGTATTAGGATCTGGAATTCTATTGTATCATGATCTTTTCCTCCCAAATTTCCCCATCACTTTCTCATCCTCCACCAATTCTCCCCTGTTGGTCAGGACAAAATCCAAGATAGATGATCCACTAGCTGTATCCTCCACTTTCTGGAGCAGAAAGTTATCCTCCATACAAGTTAGGAACTGGCTTGACATTTTATTTTTGGCTTCGTTGTTCTTTCAGCAGTTGTCTGGAAAACTGAAATCTCCCATCAGTACCATATTATCAGCTTTTGGATAGATTTGTCACATGCTTTAAGAGTGCCTTCTCTACCTCCTCTTCCTGATTAGGCGGCCTATACTAAATCCACACCATTGTATTGGTGAAGATTCTGCTTTGCCATCTTCTTCCTCCTGAACCAGGGAACAAGTGTATGTGAGAGCATACACAAATGTATGTTATAGTCTTTGTGATTTTGTGGGGTGCAGAATACTTAATGCTGGTTGCTTCATAGAATTCCTCTTTCACCAACCCCCTGCCCCCCTCTTTTCCATACATATTGTCAACTTTTAATGCTTTAAACGTATTTCTCCATAAAAATGCCAGATGTAATTTCACTGTGCTATGTTCTCTTCATTTAGTATGTGTTTTGCTAGAGTTGTGCCTATTGGTGTAATTCATTTCCTTCCCTTGCCTTTATGATTGGCTGGTTTTTGTTGTAATTTCTTTCCAAAAAACAGAACCTTCAAAAGTGACCAGTAACTTTGGCTGTTCAATATCAGCCTCTTTGAGATGTATTGATTTATTTTTAGAGGAGGATTGCCCAGAACTTCCTGAAGTCCCAACACTTTAAAATATCTTAAGTTTGAAACCCCAGACAGAAGTACCAAGCTCCTCCAGGAGTGGATCCAGAAGGAATGCACTCCATCCTTCGCTGGATCTTGAATCCACCCCTGGGCTACTCTGTTCCGCTCTGAATATCCCAGTGGTTCCTAGGCCACTACTGTACACTAGAGAGAGAGTGATTTCAATTCAGCCCTTCTTCCATTGAAACCCCAAATCACTGGTCATTTTGGAAAACCTTGGCTGGGGTATTTTTTCCTCCCAATTTCAATAAAATGACTCAATTTCCCTCCTTTGCTGCAGTCCCTCCAGAAGTGACTTTAACTTATGAGAACAGTGAGATTGCTCTATGTCGGGCATCTGCAGGGAAGCCAGCTGCACTCATTTCATGGGTCCCTACGAATGGTCACAGCATTGAGAATAAAGTTCATCACCCCAATGGAACAGTGACCACAGTCAGCAGAATTTACTGGAACAACAGCACTACCATTACCATGAGTTGCTTAATTACCCACCCAACCATGAATCGGACTCTGTCCATTGATCTGTCACCAAGTGAGTACCAGTTTTTAAATCTTTGTATCAGGGTAGTCCAGATAATTCTCTACCCATCAATTCAAACAAGTGCCAAGCAAATGATTAGGCGGTACCAAACAACATTTCCATGCAGCAGAGAAGGTTTATGGGGCAAAGCACTATCTAAGGAGCTATGCTTGAATGATAGATAACTTATTTATTTTCTGTCCTTTATATAGAATGACCCAGCAAGAAGGGTGTGTGTGGGGGAGAGACAGATTTCCTTTGTTTAATAGAATCTAGTCTGTTCAACTAGACTTCATAACACTTAAGAATAGAGGCGGAACATCCTCCTTCTTGACTTGGGTTGTTATCTTCACCAGTTGTATAATCTCCAAGTTTTCTCCAAGTTCTGTATCTATCCCTGTTGCTTTATTTCTGCAGAATCCCCCATATTCCAGTATGTCATGATAGTTGCCTTTTCCTGTGTTGCTGTTGGTGTTCTTGGTGGTGTGATTCTTTACCGGGCTTTAAAATACCGAGGTAAGTCACTTGGATTTTAGTCACTGCTTATTTCAAGATGGAAATAGTTCCATCCCATCCCTGACTAAAGATGGACACACAGACATTTATCCCACCACCCACAGAACTGGTTGGATTGGGTTTGAGGGAAAAGCCAGGGTCCCAATTACTGTGCAAACCCCATGTTCTAACCTTACAGAAAACTCTTGAGGAAATGGAGAATCTGCTTTCCATGGCATTTTTAAACCAGACCAAAAATTCTATAATACGGGCCTCATTCTGCATCATTACATACTCCATATGTGGTCAAAAATCATGGTAACAGAAATTCTTTCATGCATCACATATGCTTTTTAGAATAATTTAATGTAACCCTTTTGGCTATATCTCAGTGGTGTAACAGAGCATTTCCACATCCTGGACAGTGGTGGCACACAGGATAGCAGTGGCATGGCCAACCACCATCTTCATCACCTATTTTTGCACCTTCCCACTTCCCAGCCCCATAGGAGGTGCATGGAGCCAGGAGTGGATCCAGTGGGGGTGTAGGAGTGGATCCATCCGGCCCCCCTCTTTGATTCCTGCTCTGCCCAAACTTTAAAACCAACTGCCTGGGAGGGGTAGCAGCATTTCTAGTCAGGCAGTGCTAAGGGAGTCAATTGACTTTATGGCTCATTCTCATTTCCTGATTCCTACTAATCTCTCTGCACTTCATAGGTGTTAATGACTTTCCTTTTTAATGGTCTTGACATTCCACTATTCCAACTATCCTTTCTTCTGCAATTTTTCTGTCTGTTAACCATTCCTGGTAATGTCTCTATTTTATTTTATAGCTCTAAAGACTGTTTTTAAAGTCTAGCTAAAATCCTTAACTCATGTGTGATAATAATAACTCAAGTGTATAAATGACTGATAGTGAAGTATTGGAAGCACTGTTAAGAGACTCAAGAAGGCTAAATTTTGTTTTATGAATCTGAATAAGAGATGTACATTTAACTATAATGACTATAGGACTTTTGACACAGTGGGCACATCTTCATGAGATGCTACATTGCTGTAGTGGCAAGCTATGGTGATGTAACATCAGTGGTCACTAACTGTGATGCCACCGCCACTGCACAGTAGCAACAAGCTACTGCACAATAATTCCTTGCTATTGGGAAGTAGGGTCGGAAATGACCCATGCGCTGCCAAGACTGTGCAGCACTGGCGGGTACTGCACAGTCATTTAGTACTTGCTAATATTATTAAAGTATCTAGTTTTTCTTTAACTGGAGAAAAAAATGTTGTGTTATGTGATGATGTGCTACAATTCTGTACCTCCCTTTTCAAAATCCTAGATCTGCCCATGCCCGGGGATGCTTCTCTGTTCAGCCCTTTCCCCCTCTACACTGACACTTCTGCTTTTTCTATATTTATTCTACAAACTTTTATTGAAAATAGTGTCTGACTCTGGTGTATGAACACATTTCATTATGTGAGGCTTACTGATTTGCTGGGTAGCTGAACGTGCCTGTAGTCTGCCCACAACTATGTTGGAGGGAGAAAGTTTCTCAATGCTGTAACTGACTGTCTGAATAGATAAAGTGCACCAACACAATCAGTGATATTCTCTGATATCTAGTAAATCTCAGGGTCATGGTCTGAGAGACTTTGAGGGGTTCTACTGTGTCCAGTATGTGCTGGACACATTTCAGCTCCATTTAGCAGAGTAGGGCCAAACTGAGTATGTTTCATTCCTTGTTTCCAGTTCTGATTATCTGCTGTTTGGCTTAGCACCTATTTCTCTTCTTTCTACCATCCCCATCTTATCCAGATTCCAATAATGATTTTCTCTAGCACTGGGAATTTAATGAGAACCTGCCATTTCTAGTTAAATTAGAAACTCTTACCCAGACACAAATATTTTGAAAGAAAAAACCCTCTATGGAAGTCCAAGCTTATTTTCAAATTATAATGACTGACTCCCATAGGTATTCTCACCTATGGGGTATTCCAAGGAACAGTTCTTAGGCTTGCTTTCTGGCTTTATACAGCCATTATGAAGGGGTTTATTGATAATCATTATAGATTGCAGGGTTTATTGTTCATACATTTAAATAGTGCCATAGTCAAGATTTCTTGCAGCACATAGTGGGAAGACTTTAGGGTGTGTACAGAAGCGCTCTGTTCATTTTTTACCAAGCTGTAATTTAGGGAAATTTTTATAGCACTATAAAGTTACAACACTCGTAAACATGACAGAAGGCAGTGTTTGGGGGTGGGGAGGAGGGCCTCTGAGCCTCTCTCCACTTTCCAGGCTAGGAGGCAGGGGGTGCTCTGCAGTCTCCTGGGGTCTCTCCATTGGTCAGAAATTTGACCAGTGTACAGAAGTTATTTAAAGTGCTGTAGGTTGCTAAAATGCTGTAAAATACAGTGCTTCAAATTTAATACCTCATTTAATAAAGGCTAATTTAAAGTGCTGTATAGCTATGCACTTCTGTTAAGTCATGGCAACAAAGCGCTTTAAATAGCAAAACAAATCAAACCAACTTCTGTACACATGCTTAATGTTTAAGGTTACAGTACCCAGTCACTTGAACCTACAGATGTTTACACTTTCTATTGAAACTCATTCTAATTGTTTTTAATGCCTCGTGCAATGTCCACAGAAATCAGCAAGTTAGACAAGCAGGTTCTTACTTAAAAACTGATACGACATAAAATCTGAATATTGCTAATAAAGCTTACTTCAGTCCTTGTGAGGTTTTCTGAGACAGGCAACCTTAATTCTATCATACCCTAAACCTACTGGAGTAGTTGAAAAATTAATTATGCAAATGGAAAGTCCAACAATGCCAGTAATAAAGCAGTTTAGATAATAATGATAAATTCAACCGAATTACTTCATCTGTGTTAAAGTGAGAATGCTTTAGCTAATAGGAAAGGTAAGGTAAAAGACAAGTGTAGGTGCAGCAGCTGTACGTGTCTTGTCAAAAAATTTTGTTCCTTTGGTCGCCTATCTTCCAGCTTCCCGGTTATCAGGATCAGCATATGTTTCCACAGTGGTAAATAAGGTAAGTGGCAGTTGTTCTTATATCATATGACACAACTAACTTCTTTTTAACTAACAAAGGTTCACACAGCTCCCGTGTGTCAGTATGTACGTGTTCCGAATATTTGTGAAAGTCTCCATCACTGTACTTGTCTTTTTGGTGTATATTGCAAGAACAGCGAGCAACCACTTAAGAGACAGAAGGACATGTAATTCAGCTTCTCCAGCTTAGTAACACTTTAAATTATAAATACAAAAAATAAAGCATTTTTAAAATTGAGCTTTTGAGCTCTTGCAAATCAGTGTGTTCAGAATTACAGTTCCTTGGAAAATCTTTGCTTTGTCCTTGTGCATAAGAAGAGATGTTTTTATGACATGCGTGACTGAATTAAACTAAACCCATGCCACAAGCAACATGAGATAGCTGGATGCTTTTGTATTAAACATGCAGGCCTGTGTTAAAAGAACACAATTAAGGTGGTAAAGTCAGTACTAAAAAATTAGGCAAGGTTGTCTGCAAGACTAATTTGCCCCCCTTGCGTGTGCACCTTGGCTAGAGACAGACATTCAAAAAGCCTGAGCCTAAATTGATTCAATCTTTGCAGGTTAGTCTAACCTGGCTAGACAAAACTTGTTTGTAACCATATAGACATCCCCTCTGGACTGAGGAAATGCAGGCACATGCCTGCAGGCAGTGGCTCAGGCTAGAAGCCGGGGTGCGCTGGAGTAGCCCTCCCTTCCTTTCCATAGTGCTGAGCTGAGGGGAGGGGGGGTGTGGCCAGGTCCCGGCAGGTCACTCTGATTAGGGAGGCATCCCCTTCCCCCTGCTTCCCCCTACTCCCAACCAGCAGGGATCCAGAAGGGAGCTGATAACAACATTGAATTACACAGCAGGGAGTTATACAGAGTTGGTGGTAAGAGGGAGCAGGAGGAAGCCAGTCAGACCCCGCTGTACTTGCAGTCTCTGCTGGAGCTGCAGCCAGGAACCAGAGTGGAAGGGCCAGCCCTGGTAGGGAGCAGAGAACAGATCCCTGTCCAGGGCTGCAAAGCATCTGGGATGCTGGGAGACTCTGGTTTACATTAAACCAGGAAGGGGTCTGGGACAGACATTGCATAAAGCAGTTTGACCCAAATTAGTTAAGTCTGATACTACATTCAGCCAGGTTTATCTCAAACTGGTTTCAGCCATTTTCAGACCGGTTTATGTGCACTGACTGTCTATTCTGTTACAGGTTTAAACCAGTTTCTGATCACTTAAACTGGTTTATGTGTAATGTCTGTCCCTAGCCCTTGTGAAACACTCTTTAATTATACAATTTCATACTAGTTTTCCTACAGGAAATCTGCTTCATGTAGCACACAAGAATGAATAACAGAATGAACAACTACTCAGTATTTGTTTTATCCTCATTATTTACTTTGTACCTCTGTGCCTTATTTCTTTCATGCTGTTCAAACTGGGCTTAGAACAGTAATTTATTTTTTTTCTCATGGGCTTTTCTATGGCACTTACCTCTTTAATATAAATGCTTCACAGCATCTTCATAACCTCTCTCTGTAGGGACGGGAGGTATATTTACTCCCATTTTGCAGCTAGGGAGCTGACACATGACAAAATGGTCTCAGATGTTTCCAACAATTTCTGTGAGCCCAGTCTGGTCTGCCCAAGATCTGACTTTTCAGAGAACTTGTCATTATGCAAACACCCAGTTGAAACATGGAATCTCTGTTTTGCAAGAAATTTTCATACTTCAGAATTTATTTCATTCCAATTCAGGAAGAAAACTATATATTTACATTTTTTCAACAGATTGGAAACCTAAAATTTTGATAACAGAAAGCTGTGCACCAGCGAAACTTACACAGAAGGATTCTATTGTCTTGTTAATTTTGTTTGTTATAATGTTAGCACCCACATTTTATAAACAGTTCTGCAGTAGGGCTGTGTGAAACGGCAGTGTTCTGTTTTGACCAGTGTTTCGATGTTTCGACAGCACAGCATTTCATTTTGAATTTTGTTTTGATTCAAAACAGCTGTTGCGTTTTGTTCCATTGAAACAGGGTCAAAACAGCAAAACTGTTTCGATGTTTCGCTCATAGGATATAATGGGAAGGACAAAACAGCCTATAACTTTGTCATTTCTGGCTTCAGGCATGCTAACCCCTGTGGAGGCCACAAAGCCAGCCAAGTTTCAAGGAGGTAGGTGTAGGGGTTTGAGGGAAACTGTACATCAAGCTGCGGACAAGCAAAACTCGTGACATGGGTGACACTGTGTGTGGTAAGGCACAGCAGGGTGAAAGCTGGAGGCCTCCTAGCCCCTGATAGGGCCACGACGCCTGCCAGCTTTCAAGGAGATCAGTGCAGGGGTTCTGGGTTCTGGGGCCCTGCACCTCTGGCTGCTGACAGGCAAAACTCATGTCATGGGTGCTTGTGCAACTGTGTCCGTCTTGGGGCATGAGGGGATGGGGAGGAACTACTGCAGGCTTGGCTGCTAGACCCTGCTGTGGCCACAAAGCCTGCTAGATCTTAAGGAGATGGGTGCAGGGGGGTTCTAGGGTCCTGCATCCCTAGCTCCTGACAGGCAAAACTCATGACATGGATGCTTGTGCTAGCTAGCTACTGTTATGCAAGCAATCATGATTCACTTAGGGACCAGCTCAATACACAGTAGCTAGCAAGGATAATGAGTTATTGAGCAAGGATTAACACCTACGAAGCCACAGACTAAGGAGAGGAAAGAATCAATACAGAACTGGGAATTGCTTCTGGCCCAAGACAGAGACAGTCAGTTGCACAGCCACCCATGTCACGACTTTTGCCTGTCAGCAGCTAGGGGTGCAGGGCCCCAGAACTCCCCTGCACCTGTCTTGTTAACAGTTGGCAGGCTTTGTGGCCGCAGCAGGGCCTAGCAGCCAGGCTTGCAGTAGTTTCCCCCCTCGCCCTGTGCTCCAAGACAGATACAGTTGCACAAGTACCCATGACATGAGTTTTGCCTGTCAAAAGCTAGAGGTGCAGGGCCCCAGAACCCAGAAGCCCCTGCACCTATCTCCTTGAAAGCTGGCATGCTGACATTCAAAACAGGTCAAAACAGTGTTGAAACAAAACTGGCTGCGAAATCTTGCACAGCCCTACTCTGGAGGTTACTGTTATGTGTTGAAAAGCAAAAAAGAGAATAATTATATGAGGGGAAAGTATGAATGTTAGGCTCACCCTGGTTTATATGTCCATGTCCAGTAGAACAGTCCTGGGTGAGTGGGAGAATAATATCAGATCCCAGTGCTGGTGATTTGATGGAAAAATCTGCCACTAACTACCTGACAAAATGATATTTTGAGCTATGAGTTCAGTTACATGTACCTCTTGAAGGCCCATGTGTGGTGGGAGAGCAAAGAATTACAGGTCCTTCACTGCCTGAGTCCCACCTTTTTTCTGTCCTGTCCAGGTCATCAAGGAGGCTGTTGCTGTATTATTCTCAATGCTCAGGTTTTACCATGATTTCCCCATCTCTTTTCAGGGTGATAGTGGTATAACTTCACAGTCCCCTCATATGTCACAGTTCCAATTTCAGCTGTTTTGCTTTTCACTTAAGGCTCTATATTTATGATTTACTACAGAAATCTATTTAATATTTGTGGGATTTTTTTGCATTGCAGACTAGAAATGATATCAGACTCCAATCCAGGACTCAGAAAATTAACACAGTTTACTCTTCCATTGTGTCAGATGGCATCTACGAGAATTACCGTGTGCAGAATACGTACAAATGTCACTAAGTACATAACATTGCATATACAGACAGGCTTGTATGAATGCTGTTACTAATCACATTGACATTGATATTTAAAAAATCCCAGAGCTATTACGAAATGGGTCAGATGAACTGTAGGACACACAAATGCCTTCTTCAGGAGCTTTTTGTCAAGAAGACTTGATTTCGAGTTCCTCCATTTGTCTACCTTACTTCTGCTACTTTAGTTTCATGTTATTAACCATCAGAACAGTCAGGAATATATCCTTTGGCATTTGAAAAGCAATGATGATGGATGTTGGAGGGATGATGCGGGGGAGAGGGAGGTATGTCAGGAGACAGATCATTCGAGATAAGGGGTGAGCAAGTATTTCAGCTGGAGGGCTGCTTCACAACTTTTGGTGATATGTCAAGGGCTGCAAGGGTAGTTCCACCCCTTGACAGCTGCCCTGCCCTGGTTGCCATCTTGGGACCGGAATTCCTGCCCCTAACCCCTGACCTTTGCCGCTGGAAGTTCCTCCTCTTGCCCCTGGAAGTACTCCTTTTGGGAAGGGGGTTTGCCATCTTGGAACCAGAAAAAAAATACTAAAAATCAAGCATCTACTGTAACATTTTAATTTTGTTTCAAAAAATATTTTTGCCCTGATTTACACGTGTGTGCATATTGTATATAGAGGTAATTGCATAATAGCTTAAAATAAAGTCTTACTCTTGTATATTGTGTGGGGTGTGTGTAAGTATGGGGTGTTTGGGTGGGTGTGGGATTTGTTGGGGGGCGGGTCATGAAGGGATATGGGGGATTGTGGATGGATTGTGGGAGTGTGTTGGTAGGTGTGGGACTATGTCCAGACTGTGTGTGGGTAGGTGTGGGATTTGTGGGGTGGGTGTGGGGTTTGTGGGAGGTCTCTGGGGGAGTGCTGGTGTGGCATGTGTGTTGGGGAGTGGGGTTTGTGGGGGGTGGGGGGTTTGTGAAAGTGTGTGGGAGGGTGTGTGTGGGGGGTGTGATGGTATGTAGGGGCTGTAGGGGGTTTGTCGGGGGATGGGATTTGTAGGCAGGTTTGGGGATATCTGTAGGTGGATGGGGGGGTCTGTGGGTGTGTGTGGGTTTGGGGTGTGTGGGAAGTATGTAGGATTTGTGGGGCCTGTAGTGGGGTTGGTGTGGGGGGATGTGGGGTTTGTGTGGGTGTAGGTTTGTGGTAGGGGACTGGTGGTGTGTTTGTGGGAGTATGGGGTCTGGCAGCAGTAGCAGGTGGTAGGCCCTTGGGGTGCTCATGGCCTGCAGAAGGAATTTGAGCAGGGATTTGCAATAGCAAGTATGACACCCTATCTAGAAAGGAGGAATATATGGATGTTACCTCACAGAACCCATCCACGACTCTGGACCCCAAAAACTTTATATATGGTACAAAGGTAGGAGCCATGCACCAGTGGGATGGGCTGGGCTTACTCCATGCTTCCATGTGGGGATTCCAGCACTCCAGTGGCAAGTCACACATGGTGACACAGAGCCCACATGGCCCAATGATACATGACTCCCTGGGGCTCCCATTCTGTGCGCCATTGGGCTGGGTGGGCTCCATGCTGCCACGTCAGGCTCCTGGCACTGCAGCCAGGAGCACGTGCTGCTGGGCCAGGCTGGGCTGGCTCTGTGCCTCCACATGTGGCTCCCCACTGGAGTGCTGGAAGCCCCGTGTGGTGACACGGAGCCCACATGGTTTGGTTCAAAGGTTTTTGCCAGCAGGCCAAGCTGGTTCTTTGCTGCCATGTGCATCCCCCAGAACTCAGCTGAAGCCACATACTGCTGGGAAGCTCTGTCTGTCATGGCCCATAAGTGCTCCGAGGGTCTGCTGCCTGCTGCTGCTGCTGTCACCTCTGGCAGGAGCTGTGCATTATAGAAGGGGCAGGGGGCCACACCCTTCACAACCCCCTGCACACACACATACCTTCACAAACCCTACACCTACCCACACATGCTCCTCACACCAACCCGTACACATGTGCACCATTGGGAAGGGTGGGATCTCTGCTGCCATGTGCGGCTCCTGACACTGCAGGCAGGAGCTATCCTTCCCAGTCACCAGCTGTCCAGTCACCTGGCTGCCACCAATTTCCCATGCTACCTGTTGCCTGGAGCGATGAAGTGGGGGCATGGGCAGGAGGAGCCACTGGAGGCAGGGGGAGCTGAGCAGTACCCAGCTGCTGCAGCAGTAGCAGGGGCAGCTGTAGTAGGAAGCTGTGCATGGTGGCCAGGGCTGGGGCAAGGGCCATCGGTGGGTGCAGGGCAGGTGTGGGCCAGAGGACGGTGCAGGCTGTCCCAGGCGGGGCTCATCCTCACGTGGAGCACTGCAGGAGCAGCTGCAGGATGAATTCAATCAATTGATGGGCCAGACACTGCCTGTGAGCCCTATTTTGCCTACTTTTGCCATGGAGCCAGAATATGTTTCTGAGGAATAGCTGGGCTGTTTCTCAGGCAGTGGACACATCACAACAGGGGATGAAATAGGTGAGTGAATCTATCTACCTACCTACCACCACTAGGATTGAGGAGTACTGTTGGGAGTAGGGAACTTCAGTGATAAAGTCCAGGGATATTGTAGCTCAAGCCCAAGGAGGAGAAGGCAGGGACCCAAAGAAGTTGGTTCAATAGGTCTTGGTGTAAAAAAAAGTTTTACAGGAGTTGATGTCTGAGTGCTTCTTGGGCCACCAAAAATTGTGGGTGAGGAGTTTCTTAGCCTTGGCATGGCCAAAGCAACCAACTACTGGTGTCATGGCCAAGTATGAACACCTCTAAACAAGGCTGTACTTCTGGAAAATGAATAGTACCCCCAGCTTAATGGTCAGGTTAAGGACTTAAATTCAATAAACTGGGTACAAATATAGCCAGAAAGGATGGGGGGAGGGTCTTGGTCGAGGGAAGATGGTTGAGGGAAGAGCTCCAGTAAGTTCCTTTTCTTTGTACCATATATAAAGTTTGTTGGGGTCCAGAGTCTTGAATGGATTCTGTGAGGTAGCATCTGTATATTCCTCCTTTCTAGGTAGGGTGTCATCCTTGCTATTGCAAATTCCTGGTCTATAAGCAATTATAAAATCAAACCTAGAAAAATAACAGAGACTGTTAATAGCAGGCCTGTCACTGGTTAAGACCCTCCCAGAGGAGATATCCTACATTCTTGTGGTCAGTAAGGACCTGCATGGGCAGCAGTGGTGTAATATGACCATTGGGAAAGGTCCGACCTATTCCTACAGTATTTTATACCAACACCAAATGAATCCCCCATTGGACATGACTTTGACAAAGATGAGTCGACCTGAACAGACTGCGATCTGTATGTGGATGCTTCAAAACGTCCATATACAGATTAACATCTTAGTTCCCTGTGTGAATGCAGAGTCCAACAAACAGCACAGAGCTTAACTGAAAGCTGCAATCTTTACAAATTCCCAGATAGGGTAGATGGAATCCACACATTGAGTGATAATGCCAGACAATGGCTCATAGATTTGGAAGTTGATATCTGATGCCATACGAAAGAAGAAGTGGACCCACAGCTTTCTTGGTCCTCCTTTTCTGCCCAACACGTTAATGAAATCTCTACCTTTCATCTTTAAGAACTGAGGTTCCTCTGGCAAGGAAGTTTACTTTTGCCCTCTTGATTCTTCCCCTACTGTTTTCTAGTATGCTTTCTTCTTCACCTGTCCATCTTTCCATTGCCTGTATGCTTTCCTTTTGCATTTGAGACATCATAGAAGCTCCTTGTGCACCCACCCTGATGTTGTGCTGTTCCTTTTGTGCTTCCATCATGTCAGAACACCTTCTTGTTGGGCTTCCAATACTGTTTCCGTTAGAAGCTTCCAGCCCTCCTGGGCACCTTTATCCTTCAGTCTGTCTTCCCTTGGCACCATGCCTGCTATCTCCTTGAATTAGTTCGAATCTTCCTTTTTGAAATCCATGTCTTATGCTTTCCCCCATCTTATGTTCATGAATCCTACCATATCATGATCGCTTCCTCCCAAGTTTCCCCATCACCTTCACAGCCTCCATCTTCTTCCCTAGATGTGAAGACAAGATCTAAGACAGATGATCCCCTAGCTGTAACCTTAACTTTCTGGAACAAAAAGTTGTCTATCACACAAGTTTAGGAATTTTCTCAACATTTTATGTTTGGCCATATTATTCTATCAGCAGATGTCCAGAAAACTGAAATCTCCCATCATTACCATCTCATAAGTGTTGGATAAATGTTGTGGCCTCTTTCAGGAGTGCCTCATCCAACTCTTCTTCCTTAGTAGTCTATAATAAATCCCCACCATTATATCAGTGGTATATCTCTGATCTTTAATCTTCTACCAAATACATTCCAAACATCTTTGTCCTCCAGAATCAGGGAATGTGGGGTTGTGGTGTGTGTGTGCGCGTGTGTGTGCGCGTGTGTGTGTGCACATATATACACACATGTGCATGTGTGCACATAAAAAAAATTGTCATAGAAGGTGAAGCCACCAAATTTCTCCTAACCCTGTCCTTCTGAAACACAGTGTTGGCTGCAATACTGATTTCCAGTCATAAAAGCTGTACAAGCAAGTCTCTGTGGTACTCATCAGATAATAGTTCTTTTCACAAGCTGTAATTCCTTGCTTGTCTTTTTGTTCTCCATACTTCTTGCATTTGTATACATATGCTGGACATTATTTTGCATACTGACCTACTTGTCTCCCTTTTGTATACTTTGTTGGTCTCCTGTAACTCTCGGACCCTCCTGAGTTTAGTTGCTTCTTCCAGTCTTATCCCTTCTGGGTAGTTTGCTGTGTTACTGGAAGGTTTTGTTTATCAACCTCTGTGGAACCTAGCCTAAAGCCTTCATTACTAGGTTGACCAGACAGTGCCCAAAGATGCTTTTTCCATTTCTGGAGCGATATTTCTTAACAGCAGGTCTGCTCCACAGAACAGCTACTCCTTGTCAAAGGATCAGAGACCTTCACATTGACATCACTGTCTCAGCCATGTATTTTCCTCCATAATACGAT